TTTTTTTTTTTTTTTTTTTTAAATTCCATTTAACAATGGACCGGACAACTTTCGGTCCGTGAAAATCTGTAAATGTTCGGGTTTTTTGATAGCGCGGATCATATTTCGGATTTCGGCAAATGCTTAATCCGGTTTAATTTTAAACTTCATACTAGTTTCAGTTTCGGCTTTTTAATATTATAAATACACTATTAAACCGGATAAATCCATATTCCATACATGCTTTCGATTTTTTTTTCTTCATATGATAATTATGAAAATAGTAAGTTCACAAGTGGGTCACTGTATTTTATTTCGAAAATTCGAAATGATTATTTATTGCATATTTTATGTTGAATATAGTTTTGTATTGAAATTGTGTACTACTCTTGAATATTAATATGGTTTAATTTATTATTATTGTAAAAAACTTATTATTGTAAAAAAATAAAGTTAAAATTATAGGTAAAATATTTCAACTAGTTATATAATCTTATAGAAATTCTCCAAAAATATTTAACGCGTATAGTCAAAAGAGAAAGTTATATCACGTGATGACTTACTTATCAATTAGGCAATTACAATAATTTTAATAATTTTCTTGAAAAATCAATAAGCCATACACGTCTGTTCGCGGTGAAAAAGAAGGATGGCCTTTTGGTGTATTATCTTGGTTTTAGAATTAGGAACAAGGACAATTTTTGTAAATTACGTACAGTAGTTATTGTATTAGCGCATAAAGGACGTACAGTTACTATACAATGAAACAAAATATAGTTATATTTTATTATGAACTTCTAATTGTATCTTAATTCATTCTCTAATTAAAATAATAGTACTGTTACTACTGTATATAGTACTGCATATAAAAAAACGTGATTACAGATTACGAAACAATACTGTTTATAACTGTGTTTCGTATTTATATCATAATTTATTATCATCATTTATTATTATCATTTATTATTATCACCGTATTCAGAATAAGAAGAGTAAAAAAGAAAAATAAAAATAGTTTCAGCTTTAAAATTCAAAATAAATGTGATCATATGTTTTAATTTTATTTTAATATAATACGGGGTGTACCAATTTTTCTATTAACAAGCTGGTATTAGTAAGTATAAAGTTTGAGATGTATAATTTTTAATAAATGAGATTAAATGCTAATATTATTTCATTCAACCCAAAAGGAATGCCATGAAATGTGTTAAATTTGTTTTATATTTGTGTTCATACATAAAAAATATGTCTAAAAAAAATGCCATTTTATCTGATTTAAATAAATCTGTCACATAAATAAATCTGCATTTTATTTATGATATGGATATGTGAACATAAGTTTTTTAAGGATATAATTTTTGAATACTCATTATATTAAATCAAACTCCTGTATCAAGTATATATTTATTTATGAAATATTCATTTTTTATATCAAAACAGGGTACTATATGAACAATACCATGTATAAACTCTATAGCTACAAAGTTATATAATTTTATCAATTTTAAGTAAAGACATTTATATAAATATGGGTTTCTTTTAGATTTGAAATTATACTATTGAATTAATGCAAGATTTAGCAGTGAGTCTGTTAATACAGTCAGCCCTCTCTATAGTCATCCTAGATATAGTCACATCCCTCCTTATAAGTACATTTACATTGGCCCAAGTTACTAATAAGCTTATTAAAAAAAACCCTCTTTAGTCACACTATATAGTATTTTTATAATCACACCAATTTTTTTAGTTCTGAAGAAGGTGACTATATAGAAGGTTGACTGTACTTTTGCTAACAATAAAGTTTATAAATAATAAATATTTATTATTACTTTTATAAATAAATTATTACACAAAATCACAAATTGACAAAATACCTGTCTATAATAAATCCTTTGTCTGATATATAATCATTTAATTCTTCAGAATTCATTAAAATAGATATATTGCTAAACTATGCTTTATTATGATACCTGTTTGTGATATGTATTATAGCAGTATTACTAATCTATAGACTGTATATTTATTTAGATTTTGCCAATAGTAATTGTGAAACTGTTAAATAAATTTAGATAACATATAAAATATAAATTTACCAAAACTAATCTGCATTTAAATCTTTTCTTTTTCATTAAAAAATATATCTGACATCCTGTAAAAATACTATTTAAAAAATAACAAAAGCATAATAGAATAAAATTTGAAACTTTATTATTAATATCATTATAAACTGTTTCCTTAATAAATCAAAAGAATTATTATTAGAAAATACAGTTTAAAAACTAATTTATTTTAAAAATTTGATGTTTAATTATTTAGATTATTGTAAAAAAACTTCTATTTATAAAACTATTAATCTAATTTTGATATTAAAAAATTTAAAAGAAAAAGCAATTAAATTATTTAGTAAAATTTTAGATGTTATTTAAATAATTTAATTGAATTGAAATAGATTTATAAAATGAAGTTATACTTAAATTATTTAAAATTTTTACTTTTAAAAAAAGTTTAGTATTTTAGAATTTATTTGATTCAAAATTAATAATAATAATAATACTTTTAATAATATTAAATCTGTATAATAATTTTATTATTTAAAATAAAAGAAATTTTGAAAAAAATTCATATTTTAATAATAATCTTTATTTTTAATATTAAAGTTGGTCATATTATTATTGTAAATAGATATTATAATAACTGATATATAATAAATTTTGTAAAATAATATTATTTATAATATTATTAATATTTAAGACATAGTAATACCAATTTTATTATATAATATTTATATTAACTATGGCTATTGATTAACTAAATGGCTAAAGTAGTAATTAATTTATTAATAAAGGACCCCAGACATCTCTTATAAAACTCACAACTGACTTTTTGCCAAAAAAGACCCAATTTGCTCTTTTTTTTATTTTCAGTTTTTTGTGATTATCTTGGCATTCAGTATTCCGATTCATGCAGATTTTTTTTTATTTTGTAGAGCTTGATGAGGGCTACAAAACAAAAAATGTTCACATAAATTGGACCACTGGATACTGAGATAATTGCAAAAAATGTGATTTTTTTTTAAAAAAATTTAGGCCAATTTGCTAAAAAGTTACTCTCTGAGTTGTATATGTAATATCCAGAATCCTATTAATAATTCTACTTTATATTTTATTTACCTTGTGTAATAAAACTTTATTTTTATGAAATAAGTCAAATTAAATTTATAAAAATTATTGTTATCTGATGATTGTAATATTAAAAAATCCATTAAAAATGGATAAATATATGCTAAACATAAATAAATTGAAGGCTTTATAAATATTAGTTAGTATTAGCTATATAATTTAATATATTTTATTTCTAATTAAAAAAGTATTAAAGTATATTAGAAATAATAATAATGAATTAATAATCTGATTTTTATTTATTAATTTAGTTGATTTAAATAAGACAGAAGGATTCAATTTCGAAAAATACTATAATAAATTAAATAAAATTGATAATTATATTAAGTATATATTTAAAATAATATATAAGTATTAAAATAATTCTTTAATTATTGTTATAACAAACTATAGAGATATAAAGAATATTAATATAGAAAAAAAATGTATTTATAGAATCAAAAGGACTCAGCTTACTTATAATAAAGATTACTATAAAAAATTAACCTTTTACTAATGATTTTTACTTTATTTTTTTCTTAAATTCTATTGGTTAATTAATTAAAAAGAAAAAAATTATAATAGTGTAATATAAAATTTTCTTTATAAGATAATCTATTTTATTAAATAAGTAAAATTTTAAATCAAATAATAAATTACAAAGAATAATAGTAATTTTTATATATAAATAATAAAGAATTTTTCTAACTATAATGATTACTAGTGACTGAAATTATGACAATCGACTAGCATTAAAAAAATATAGTACTAGTAAAAATTGATAATTCTGGCTAATAACAGCAATGATTATCTTTAATGATTTAAAGTAAAAACCAATAATAAATTTGTTATAAAATTCCATTAAGATTTTTTATTTAATAAAATATTAACTAAAAGTTTTAAAACTAATTAATATATATTTTTAAACATATATTATTAAATTTTCAAAAAAAAACTAATTTAAAAAAATATAAAATATTTTGCAAATTAGGATTAACAGCTACATTAAA